CAATCCGACCAATCACCACATGAAAATGAAATAGAATGTACTAGATACTAGATATGCATGTCATATTCTTTTTCTGGGAACATGTTGCAATGTGTTTATTTTAAATATATCCCTGACATAACCAGATGCCTGGCAAACCGCGCACTTAGAACAAGTACCGCATGAGCAGTATAGATTGTACTAGAGTGAGTTGTGCGCAATATGTGCTTACAGAGGAGCATTTAAAAGGCTAGTAAACTTGGCAGAACCCTGGTGCGCAGTGCACTTGCACATGGCACCAGCCCCTTTTGCACAAAAGACACCCATAGCCAAATTGTTGAACTTGTGGTGGAAGCTTGGAAACTTCCGGTGGCGGTGGCGCTGCCGATGACAGCGCTTCCGGCGCCTCCATGATTGCCACTGCTGAACTACCTTTCCCCTGGAAGCCAGCAGCTTCAAAGGAGCAACCTTTCCCCTGGAAGAAGCAGCTTCAGAGGAAGCAGCTTCAAAAGGCACAAAACAGCCTCCAACCTAATAGTAATGGCATCCAACCTAAGAGCGATGCCTTCAACCTCACATGGCCTCCAACCTAGTAGGGATGGCCTCCACTCCAATAGCGATGGCCTCCAACCTAAGAGCGATGACCTCCAACCTAATAGCGATGGCGTCCAACCTAAGGGCAATTGCCTCCAACCTAATAGCGATGGCCTCCAGCCTAAGGGCAATGGCCTCCAACCTAAGAGCGATGGCCTCCAACCTAGTAGTGATGAGTTTATTTGCGTTTCTGACGGACAATCACTTGAACATTCTTTTTGGGGCACTTATTGTTCTAAGTGTGTTGTTCCAAGTGTAAGTTTCTGTGTTCCAAGTGTAGGTTTTTCCTTTGTTCTAAGCCATACACTTAGAACCTCTCTCGGGGACGCGTATGAATTTTTTTTCCAAAACTTGTTCTAAGTGATTGTCCGTCGCTATATACGTAGTCATTATATCCACGAAATCTCCATCGAAATTGGCTTCGCTCAGGAGCTAGGGCCATTTGCGTCCGGCTCGACTCCTCCAGTAGCAGTAGTCCTAAGATTTGCAAGCCAGAGAAGGCACAACTTTTTCTCCAGTAGATGTTGAACTTCGAACTGCAATTTTTGGGATTCTGGCCGTGCTAGATGTGGTGTCCCTCAGGTTGCACCGGCAGACTTTCTCACTTATGGCTATGGTAGCTGCACTGCTGGAAGCCTAGTTGGCAACTGACGCAAGGCGCACACTCCGGTCCCAACAGCTATACTGAAAATGTTTCACCAAGGCAGTGATGCCTCTACTATTGAGTCATTCGAAGGTAACTTTGCTGCTTGTGACGCTCAGGCATGGGCCAAATTCTTAGCAAATGCTCTTCGTTCTGTCGGGTAGCCCCAGCTAAGAAAGTCATTTTGCCCTGCCAGGGCCGCAAGAACCTTGACTTACTAGCAAGCGTATGTTTTTGTGCTTGATGGGTCAGTTACAGGGTCAGATGGTGTGGAGAGTATGGTTTGCCCATCAGAGTTGGCAGGTTGGCGTTCCTGCCCGAGAAGTTGGCTCGTTGGTATCTCATCAGGGCTTGAAGCCATTTGGGGCCAATTCAGAGTGAGCGCATTTTGCAAGATGCCTCAGGTAGCTGGTTCAGCGTTCGCATTTTTCTGCAAGAGATGACCCACACTCAGGCCTTGCTGGAATACCGGCATTTTTGCAGGCCAGGCCTGAGACCTCTAAGTCCCCGGCCAACCCATAAGCCACACCGGCCAACCCATAAGCTTGTGAGCACATTGCAGGCCTGGCGGTGGACAATCCCAACGTGGAAAGCTCAAGCGCAAGGATCATGGTAATTTCATGAGTAACTATATAATAGCGATGGCCTCCAACCTAACAGCAATGGCCTCCACCGTAGTTCTGATGGCCTCCAACCTATATAATAGCGATGGCCTCCAACCCAACAGCAATGGCCTCCACCGTAGTAGCGATGGCCTCCAACCTAATAGCGATGGCCTCCAACATAACAGCAATCTCCTCCACATGCCTCCAACGTAGTAGTGATGGCCTCCAACCTATATAATAGTGATGGCCTCCAACCTAACAGCAATGATGGCCTCCACCGTAGTAGCGACGGCCTCCAACCTAATAGCGATGGCCTCCAACCTAGCAGCAATGGCCTCCACCGTAGTAGCGATGGCCTCCAACCTAATAGTGATGGCCTCCAACCTAACAGCAATGGCCTCCACCGTTGTAGCGATGGCCTCCAACCTAATAGCGATGGCCTCCAGCCTAACAGCAATGGCCTCTACCGTAGTAGCGATGGCCTCCAACCTAATATTATGTCGGGCACGCCAGCCATAGATACAAGGAGCCAAAATAGTTTTATACAGCAAAAACAAAGCCAAAAAAAACAAAAGGCAAAGCAAACAAAAAAGCAAAAGAATGTAGCTGTGCGTATTTCGGCGTATTTGTCGTTTTTTTTGCATTTTTTCGCTTTATTTTCGCATTTGTGTTCGCTTTATTTTCGCTTTTTTTCCTAGGAGGGTACAGCTTTTTTTTTGGCTTTTGTTTTTGCTGTACCCTCCTAGGAAAAAAACGAAAATAAAGCGAAACAAATGCAAAAATAAAGCGAAAAAAACAAGTGAAAAAAAGCGACAAATACGCACAGCTACATGTTTTTGTTTTTTTGCCTATTATTGCGCTTTGTTTTTGCTTTGTTATTTGCTTTTGTTTTGCTTTGTTTTTGCTTTGTTTTTTCTTTGTGTTTGCATTTTTATTTGTTTTTATTTTGTTTTTTCACTTTTTTTCACAAAAAGAAAAAACTATTTGATGGTTGGCCATGTATGGCTGCCATCGCCCAACATAAACCTAATAGCAATGGCCTGCAGCCTAACAGCAATGGCCTCCACCGTAGTAGCGATGGCCTCCAACCTAATTAGCGATGGCCTCCAGCCCAATGGCAATGGCCTCCAGCCTGACAGCAATGGCCTCCACCGTAGTAGCGATGGCCTTCAAACAAATAGCGATGGCCTCCACTTGGATGCCCGTGGTGGTTGCTAAGTGGCTACAGCGGATAGTGTGCTTAGCAATGAACTTATATGTTACCCAAAAGAATATATATCTTCAGTAACATTGCTTATAACATGGCCAAACCAACATATAAACCAGTCAATATACATATAGTGTTTGTATTATTTGTTAAGTACTTAGCGTCAACATGTAAGTGCTTAGATTTATGTTAAGTAGCAAGGCAACTTAGTATCTACTTAGCCTTTAATGTAAGTAGTTTGCGCTAAGTTTTGTAAGTAAGTTGTCGTGCTTACGAGCATGTGGGGTAAGTAACTTAGGTGATTTATGTCTGTTGGCTAACTGGAACTTACTAAGTATGTTAAGTGCACTTGTGGGCTACGTGGCGAATGCTTGCGTGCACGGGAAAGGCGCACGCGTGCGCAGAACAATGCGTACAATGCGTGCATGTGTTTTCTTTCCTAGAGTTCTTTTTTTTTCGAAGGCGTTTGCCGTGCAAGTGTTTACTTTTTTTTTTGCGAGGGGTCCGCACAAAACGTTTCCACATATTTTTGACGATGTGTTTCTTGTCAATATTTTTTGATTTTTTTTTGAATTGTTTTTTCTTTTGTTGGCATTTGCAGTTTGAACTTGATAGGTTTTTAGGAAGTATCCGCAAAAAGTTTCCACAACTTGTTGTTTGGAGTTGTTGTTATTGTTTGTTTCGTTTTTGTTTTCTTTTTTGTTATTTTCCATTTGCAGCAGATGTATATATGTAAATATATCAAAAGGGAGGCACCGATTTTTTGCGAGGAGGAGGGTGCCACCCTGTGCAGCGGGGAGGGGCTGCACAGATAATATATATCAGTCAAACCCTTTTGTTGGGTGATGATTGTGCCCACGATGGAACTTGGACGAAGGGACTGCGGTGAGCCCAGAGTGGAGGGTATAGGTGGGATTTCCATGTACAAGATCACTGTACGTCGAACTATGTAGGCATGTGCATGATCACGTACAAACATGTGCAGATCCATGAGGCATGCATTGCTGGCATGAAGACATTCACTGAAAGACAGAATGAGAGGCCAATATTTCTCTAGTGGCTCTAGTTAGCTTGACTCCATGGTCGGTATCTCAAACAAAAACAAATTTGGCGAATGCATCCATGAGGCAGAATTGGATCCATGGGCATTTGACGAACGCCAGTTGAGAAGGCGCCAATTTGGAACTGAAGTGTTGCGGTGCCATGTCTCTGGAGGGCATTTGATGAGGGAAGTGAGTCAAGGTTGTTTCTTTTGATCAGACATGTTGAGAAGTCATTTGGTGAGGGAATTGTTACTTTTGATCAGTACATATTTTTGTTGATGCTCAATCAACCATCTGATATGAGCCTAAGTGAGTGCATTGCATATAGTGGCCTACTGTGCAATCAATTGTTGAATGTCGTTGACGTGAGCAGGGCTTTTGCTCGCTTGTTGGCAGGGATGCGTCTCGCCTTGTTTGATAGCGGTTTGGCTCTCGTATACCGTGATTGTAGATTGGATCACTGATCGTAATGGCAGCGCCTCTGTTGTTGGCATGGATCGCCTCCTTTTTGCTTCGGCACGCGCGTACCGATGTGGAGCGTGCCATTGGAGCGACCCGAGTCCTGGTGTCAGTTGAGAGGGCCTTGCAAGCGTGTTGGGCCCTGCCACAGGAGGTGACTCGGAGTTTGGTAAAGGCGCAGCTTCAGCTCAAAAATGCTGAGCACCCTTAAAGACCGAGGTGGCATTCCTGGCCAACGGTGGCGGACAGCGATTCTGGTTCGATCGCTTTGGGTGGCTCCGAGACGAGTTTCCGCTGCGAGAGAACTGGGAGAGGGAGTGGCGCACAAGCGCCAACGGCTTCCAGAAGGATGTGGAGAGGTACTTGACCGTCATCGACCTCCAGCAACAGTTTTTGGTCTTCGCCGGACTCTGCAAGTTGGCAACTGCGTTCGATGAGTTGGCCCAACTTTGCAGATGGCCATTCGGATTCTACGTCCGTGACGCTGCGCAATCAGCTCAGTGGAGGCCTAACTTTGAACCTCCTAACTTCATGATGCGCGTATGAGATTCTTTCGACCCGTCTGAAACACGGACCAAGGAGTCTAGCACGAGTTCTTGGGTGGCAAACCTTCACGCGCAATGAAGGTGATATGAATTGCCCGGCTCAGTGTTTGAGAAAAAGTTGATTTGTCCTTCGTGCACGTTCTTTGAAGTCGTTCGTTGTTTGAAGTCCTTCCCAAACTTGAAATGTGAAACTTGAAACACTTGAAACGTTTTTATAGGAGCTTTCCTGTTGAGAGGGTTGGTCGTGAGAGACTGGGACTTGTGGAGACTTGCGGGACTTGACTGTGGGACTTGTGGGACTTGTGGAACTTGGTGCTTACAGCTCAGCTCCGGCCCCGCCAGGCAACCTTGGAGTGAGTCCCGCTCATGGCAGGGCAGTGTATGCTCGCCAGTCAGCAGGGAAGGCAGGCCGGTAAGGGTAGAGCACCTGTGGGAGGCGTGTCCTTTTGCAACATGAGAGACTGACAAGCATCCTTTGAGAGATTGCGCTTATGACTCATGAATCCTTACTACTTACTGTTTCGAGATGTTGCGTGTATGTTGGTCCAAAGCGACGTATGCGTGTATATACGTCATGAACATGAACATGTACATGAATGGATGAACGTGAACCTGAACATGGATGAACATGAGCATGAACATGGATGAACATGAACATGGTGACAACAACGAGCATGTTTTCAGTCTCGTGGATCATGCACGTCACGTGCAATGGTTGCATGGTCAGAATGTAACTTCTTGTTCACTAACTATTCAATTGGACTTTGTTTTTCGATCAGTGCGATGGCTGTCAAGCCAGAAGTCGAAGAGGAGGTGCGAAACCTCCTGCAGAATGCCGACGCGAAGGCATTAGTGGGATCTGTGCGGAAGATCATGCAGGTGTTGGAACACCATGGCTTGGCATGCCGCCAATGCCTGAGTTGCATGAAGGTGGGCGTGCATGACGCTAACCGAGATGGTCTCGGTGTGTCGGCCTTCGACTGTCACAGGTTGTGCTCCGAGATCAGCGACATCGCCTACGACAGCCAGGAGTTCAAGGGGGTGGCAATTCAGCTGCAGGGCGCAGAGCTGGAAAGGGTCCAGGCCTTCAACAGGAAGTTGCAGGAGGAGGCCCAAGGCCTTTTGGGCGGCGCAAGTGACATGATCAGGTACGCAAGTTTGGCTGGCTCTCACGCCAACTACGCCATGAGGTGCTTCGCATCGCGTGTGGAACACAAGGATGATGAGCTCACGTTGGACGGCCGACTCTCGCTAGAGAGGCTTGCGTCGAAGGATGGCGCCTTCTACAAGGCCATCGTTGATGGCGAGACATGGATGGTGCTTGAGGCCACTTGCTCCACCACCTGGCCAACGCTGGCCGAGACAGTGCAGGCAGCTTACAATGCAGCTGGGCAGCTGGCGAGGCATGAGACTGACCTTCAGGTGATGAAGAAGCTGCACACTGCCATTGTGCGCGGTGCAGCCTACGACAAGGCGAAAATGCAGGCGCTGCGTTCCAAGCCCCCGAATGCAGGCGCAGTGCCGCGCATGTACACCTTCGTCATGCACTTCGCTGGGGGCCGATCAGGTGAGTTCCTGAGAGAGACGGAGGCCTTCTTGCGCATCAAGTGTGTGCCTGTAAGGCACTTGGCTTGTGAGGTGTACGAATCCCTCGCAATCGAGATGCGACACACGGGAGCGCAACAATTCCCCAAGTGCCGCCATGCGCTTCTTAAGGCACTCTTCACTACTGAGTCTCGGATCACGGCCAGCGACCTTCGACGTCTCTTCAGCCAGAAGTCAGGTATGATGCCACAGCTGGAGGAATGTGAGGGGTTGATCACGGATGTGCAGAAGCTCTTCAAGGACCTTGACGTGCCAGCTGAGGTCAAGTTGCAGCATCAAGGTGACTTTGAGATCTCTTTGATGTTCCGCCTGTTGCAGAAGAAGGAGCCAGGCAAAGAGCAGCACGACAGTTTGCAAAGTGTTGCTCACAGTGCAGTGATGCTGATGAGGGAGCATTCTGGTTTGAAGACTCCTGACCTCGTCTCCCCATGGCGTCCATCCAGTTCAGGCACGACAACCTCGGGTGGTTCGGCTTCAGCAGCCGCCAGTCACTCTCTTCCGGCTGCTCCGAGGAACCTTGCATATACGTGCACGTGTGTGTGCGTGTTATTGGTTTGGCAGGGTCATATCTGTGAATATGACTCGCCAATTGGCAGTGCAATGATTGGCACGCCGCATGTACGACCACGGTTTGTTGTTGCATTGTAGGTGTTGTTATGCTTTATTTGTTTTCATGCATTGAGATTAAGGAGTTGAACCCATGCATGTACATGTATATACAAAGATGGACATAGAAACTCTGTTTGTCGCTTTGGTACATGTTTTGGTGGCATCGTCAAACACCCATGCAGGATGCGTGAGTACGACCAGAGCGGGAAACAACACACCACCGCAGCCTTGGAAGAGGCAGGCTTCGCGGTGAGCCAGCGGGTACTCCACAAGAAGACCAAACAGGAGGGCGAGATTGTGGCCATGACTTCGGAGAAAGTCACGATCAACCTAGATTCAAAGACGACCATGACTGTTGGTGCACAGGATTTTCTGATGGGCCAATGGCAGACAGTGAAGGCCAAGGCGCCCATCGAGTTTCTTGCCTGGGAAGACCGGGAGCCGTTCAAGTCGGTGGAGGTCTCAGTCATGGAGCTCCAGGCTGGTGCATGCTTGGCCCTTTGCGAGGCCGCCAAGAAGAAGAGCCTGGAAGGTCTGATTGCGTTGCAGACCAAACACAAAAGACGTGATTGCAGCAAAGGCGATCTCGAAGCATGCCTTGCAGATCATTCCAGTGACCTCAAAGATTCAGGTGCAGGAGGCCACGAAAGGAAAACAGATTCCGCCTTCGGCGATCTCCATGGGCCAGAAGAAGATCGGCGAAGCTGTCTTTGACATGTGGCTCACGCCGCATCCTTTGAAGGAGGGTTGCCTTGTGAGCCCGGCTTTCATGGTGCGGAGCACAGACGATGAAAGCAAGGCCAACATGGTGATCTGGCCGGCGCTGGCCAGGCATCAGGTCAAGGAGCTGAAAGTTCCAGTGTTGAGGAACACGAAGGCTGTGAAGAAGGGAGAACAATTGCTGGTCTATAGGCCCAAGGTGGAGGCTGAGGCCGCGGAAGCTCCAGCAGAGCATCCGAAGAAGAAGGCGCGAAAGGACAAATGAGGCCACGTGAGATCACAGTTCAAAAGGCATGTGCCACGGTTTTTGAGGCTTGGCCACTGTTTTTGAAGCTTGCAAAGGGATCGATGAATCCTGTACTTGGATGTGAGCTGTCGCAGTGAAGGAAAACTCTGTCTGTTTCGCACTTTCGGTGAAATGTTTGTTTTGGGAGGTGGTGAGTATTCCTGCCATGTGATGCATTCACTTGATTCCGCGTGTTCGATTTCTTGCATTGTGTTTGCATTTGCAGTTCTTTGAGTTGCATCCAGTCGTGGTGCAAACGGGTCTCTATCTCTCATGCCCTGCTGACAGGCGTGCCGGGCATGCAACAGAGGAGAGCGCACTCGAGAAGTGAATCAATGCCTTTTTTCTCAGACATGTTGAGAGGGCGTTTGATCAGGGAAGTGAGTCCAGGTTAGGTTGCGTCTTTTGATCAGACATGTGGAGAGTGCATTCGGTGAGTTAAGGTTGTTTCTTTTGACCAGTCCATGTTGTATTTGATGATCAATTAACTAAAGTTCTTTTGTAATCATATTGTTGATATCATTGGTGAGTACGCTTTCTGTCATCATGGATGTGAATGAGGTTCCAAGTCTCTGTTAGTCACTGATAGTCATACAGTCATTGGTGCTTTTGGTGACATGTTTTCCACGCATGTGCAGGGCCATGCGCTCGCATGTGGCAGGGCACGCTCGCCACAAAGGAATAACCGCCGCTTTTCTATTCAATCTCACGTTAGCCCTCATTTGAGTGTTGAGTTTGCAGGCTTTAGGCACCTGAGCCTGGATTTGCCATGTCTGACCGCCCATCTTTCACATTGAAGGAAGTGGACGCTGTGGAGGTTCAGGATTCCAAGTCTCTTTGGATTCCCACCACATGCATTGTGGAGAACACCAAGTTCATCAAGATTTCAAAGTGGGATCGCGGGTTCTGCAAGTTCGCCACTGGTCAGACAATGGAGCGCCGCAGTGGAAAACAATCCAACTCGGTGAACTACCAATGCCTTGACTCGCTCTTGAAGTTGCGGCGGCAGGCCTGCAACAGTGCGTTGAGGAAGGCGTTGGCCGAGGCAGAGGCCTGTGAAGAACGCCCTACAATGACCCTCAGGACGAAAAAGAAGGATACCCAAGCGCGCGAATCCGACAGGGCAATAGCGGGCCATAGCGTGTACTTAGACACGCCAGAGACGCAGCGGACGGCATCGGTGAGAATGCAAGTCTTGTGGAGCGTCCAATCCTCCGATCTGTGGGTTGAGTACACTCAGGTGAACTTGGAGTACCTTCGGTCATGCATCATGGACGAGAAGGAGGCACAGGCTTTGGGTCGCACTCGAAAGCGCAAGGCCGGTGAAGCCAACGACTCACAGGTAGAGGAATCGCAGAACGTAGAGGACTCACTAGAGGAGGAAGCCGCAAAACCTCCAGCCATGGAGGAGTCCCAAGGTTCTGACTGAAGGCGCCATCATGCATTGTAATTTGTAATTGTTCCTTGCATCTGCCAAGTGTTGGCGCTTGCGGTTGTGGATGGATCGGGCCATTGCCAAGCGTTGGCACCGTGGATTATTGAATCTTGGGTCATTGCCAGTTGTGTAGATGCACACAAGCAGCAAAGCCCTATCAGGAAGCCACCAAAGAAGACGGGGATTGAAAACGTTGGCCTGATTGCGTTTGGTGGACAGTGAAACTGCATGACAAGGATGGACAGTAATCACGGGGGGGTCATGCAATGAGACGTGCAGTGAAACTTCCAATTGTATGCGCTGTTGTGTGAAATGCTTGGTCGTAATTACGAGATCGTAACATGCAACAAGAATGCGAGCATCAACCCTGCATTCATCGTGGCGAGCTAAAGCCCTGCCTGTCGTTGCTCCGGCTCCCGCTTCTTCAGGACTGTTGTTGTGAGGATGCATCCAGCTGTTGAGGATCCAAGCCAGCGTGGGATTGTGTTTTTGGTTGTCGTTGAATTGCATGAACCATGACTCATGACTGTTCTTTTGAGTTTCATGAATGATAGCCCTCGTATGGACAGTGTTTTGGTTGTTGTTGAGCTGCGTGAGCCATTGCTTTTCATCTTGTTTTGGCTGTTGATGAATTGCGTGAACCAAGGCTATTCATTTCAATGGCTATTGGAGCGCGTATTGGAGGCGCGCACGTTGCAGACACCTGGCAGGGTGGGTGTGAGCCTTACTCGCCAATTACGCAGGGCCACTTTGCTCGCGGCAACATCGCAGATCTCTTTTCACGCCCAACCATCTCCTACTGTCAAAGTCGATCGAGCCGGTATCCTTAAGACTGCACTCGGTGGAGGGTTTTCGCTACTATATAGTTGGAGGGATCAAAAAGCTTTGATATGGCAACTAGTGGAAATGTATGGAAATAGTGGAGGGTGCACAACTAGTCTCTCAATGTATGGAAGTAGGTCAAAGCAAATTCGTTTATACAATGCGTTCCTCTAGTCAAAACCAGCTCCTGTGTATTCCATGACCGGTGAAATGTGTTATGTGAGCATTTTGTGTTAAGAACAGGGGTGTGCTGAAACTTTGTTGAGGTTAGCTCAGCACAGGTGACCATCATCACTTGCTGTTGATAGGGTGTCCAAGGCTGCAACTGGGCGGGTGTGTTATAACTGATGCTTGTATGGATGAACGTACTCAAGTTTATGTACTATACAATTACTAGATGTCACGTGGTTCAACACCTTGGTCGATGTGGGACTATTGGATCACACCAGGGTTTCACCAGGCTGCAGGTCTGTTTGTTGGCTCAAGAGCAAGTCGTCGCAGTTCATGATGCACCGCTTCTAGGCTTGTGCTCATACATGTGTTGGTTCATGACAGGAACAGAAGTACATACATGTACACAGAGTTTAGGAATAGAAGTGCCAAGGTCATGCAGGGAGCAACATATAAACATATATCCATATCTTTGTTGCATTTGCGTCGACATTGCGCAACATGGCTGACGAGGCAAATGCTGCTGCTACCCGCGAGGCTGATGGAACTGCAGCGGACGACGGTGATGTTGTGACATCTGATCCGTACCTGGTCACTGATGACAGCGCTGCTCGAAATGAAGGCTGCGTGGCAATCAATGACCTTGATGAACAGCTTTGCATATCTTTTGTGAGTGTGTATTTGGAACGTTTACATGGCATGTTTCCACGTTTGCTTTAAGTGTGCCGACTATTAAAAAAAGTGGTGTTGCGCTGACCAATGTTTACCAATGGGTTGTCTTGGAACGAACAAGGTCATGAGCCAGGCCCGGATCCTACAGATACAACATTGCTTGAGGTGAAACAAGAACGACTATCAGAAGAGGTGTATTCGCAAGAGCAGTGGTTGGAGTGGTATGCATCACAGGAGTGGTGGGAATCAGAATGGTGGCAGTCGGAGTGCAAGGAAGAAGAGTATGAGCCGGAAGCAATGGCTCCGGACAACGATGCTGCCGAACCAGAGCCAGAGGAATCAGAGCTGGTTGAAGTGGAAGATGACTCCAAGTCGTCAGAAGAAGGTGGGTGGGTGCCGCAAACACAAGTGCTGTCTAAAGCTCGACCTGAGCCTGCTGGTCCACCTCGCGCAGCACTTCGGCTTCAGGCGCAACCTGATCCACGACCATGTGCACCTGATCCTGCAGCACGACAAGCACTTCCTCCGCCACCACCACCCCCTGCAGGAAAAGGCCGATGGAGCCCGCCGTCTCCTAGGACACCGCCCCTGGCGAGCCGAGCACCGCCACCTCCTCCTCCGCCACCACCAGCTGTGACGCCAGGGTTGCGTGATGCCCCATGGAGGAAGGAGTCACGCGGCACAGGCACGGCCATGTCTTCGACGTCGAGGGCATCATCAGGCCGATCTGAGAGCTCGTCAGGCCGCGATGGCAACAGGCGTGGAGAATATGTGGAAGGTGGGCATGGCTTCAGACTTCCATCTGGTGAGTACTCTGGAGGATAGATTGCACAAGTTTGAGATGTCCACTGTTGGCTGTGGGGTTGGGAGAGGTTTCAAGTTGTGGGAGCAAAACAAGTCTCTAGTACTCATAGTGTTTCAGAAGCCTTATTAACACCTTTCATCCAAGGCCTGGGCAGGGGCGCAAGAGGACTCGCAAACGCGGTGGCTACGCCGAACGCATGAAGCAGAATCTTCGTCGATTGGAGGAAGACCGCGACGCCGACCATCAAGCTCTGCGTACGGCTGTGCTCATGTCAGGGCATTTGGTTCCGAACGCAGGTGCCGCTAGCGCTAGCAGTCATACAGGTGGTGAGGGCAAAGGAGACAAGGGAGCCTTTGACCACGATACCGCCAAGGGCAAGGGCAAAGCGAAAGGCAAGAAGAAATAGACTTCGGACGCCTTGTTTAGTGCCCATCAGTTCACACCCTACTTGCCGAGGCAGCTCAACCAAAAGCGTTCATTGTAAAGGGATACTGTTGACACATTTGCAATGCATGTCATCCAATAGAAGATTGAGATGAGCTGTCGACCAACATGTTTGAGCAACATGCCAAAGGGCTGCTCAGCGACACATTGACGCCAATAGCTTTGCGGAAGTGTGTGTGCAACCATAGAGATGTAAACCAGAGAAGGTCATATATCTAATGAACATTAGGTGATTCTACAATGCCCGACCACGGGCCAATGGCTGCACGCGCGCGCACGCGTTCAAACGGTTCAGCCAGTATCGTTTCACAACACTCCTCTCCAAACGGAGAGTTGAGGTGCATGTCACTGAAAAAAGATGCATCGGGCAAGCGTGGAGTTCGGAGAGTTTGTAAGTGATAGGTTGTTGTTGACTGTTGTGGAGTTTGGTTAGTGTTTCTTTCTGGAACTGTTGGGTGTGCGGTTTGATTGCGTTGACGTTTGTAAAACACTTTTTGTGTGCAATGTACTTGAGTGTCGAAGCACGATGAAGATGGTTTCAGAACGTTTCAGAACTTTTTGGTGCCTCTGAAGAAATGAAAAGTGTTCAGGTTTGCCCTTGTTTTGAAGTATTTGTTGACAGTTTGCAGA